AATCACCCATACTTCCAGGAAATCTAATGTCACAGATTTTTGAACTGATCCAACAACTCAAGACTGTGTGCGTCTACAGCAGAACTGTGCTCTGGTACACTATGCAAATTCCTGGTCCAGCATATCCCCCCACTCAATCATTACCAGCCTAGAGCCTAGAGGATCAGCCTGGTTCAATAGACAGTGCAGGAGGACATGCCACGAGCAGCACAAAACATACCTAAAAAATGAAGCTACCAAACAGGACTACATGCATGCCAAACAACATAAGCAGCAATTGACATATACAGCTAAGCAATCCCACAACTAATGGATCAAAGCTAAGCTCCGCACTCTTCCTACATGCAGTCGTAAATGGTGGTGCACAATTAGACAACTCACTGGAGGAGGAGACTACACCATATCCCAATCCTCAATGGTGGAACAGGCCAACACATCAGTGAAAAAGACAAGGCTGAAACATTCACAGCAATCTCCAGCCAGAAGTGCTGAGCGGATGATCCACCTTGGTCTCCTCCAGTGGTCCTCAACATCACAGGTACCAGTCTTCAGCTAATTCAATTCACTCCGCATGATATTAAGAAATGGTTAGAGGCACCGGATACTGCAAAGGCTATCAGCCCTGACAATATTACAGAAGACCCAGAACTTGCCACTGCCCTAGCTATGCTCTTCCAGTACAGCTACAACACTGGCATCTACCTGATAATATGGAAAATTGCCCAGGTATGTCCTGTACACAAAAGGCAGGACAAATCCAACCTAGCCAATTACTGCCCATCAGTCTATTCTCAATCATCAGTAAAGTGATAGACGGTGTCCTCAACAGTGCTATCATGCAGCACCAGCTCAGCAATAACCTGCTCAGTGACACCCAGTTTGGATTCCACCAGGGTCTCTCAGCTCCTGATCTCATTACAGCCTTAGTTCAAACATAGTCAAAAGAGCTGAATTCCAGAGGTGAGTTGTAAGTGACAGCCCTTGACATCAAGTCCACATTCGAGCAAGTGTGGCATCAAGGAGCCCTAGCAAAATTGGAATCAATGGTTATCAGAGGACAAACACTTCACTGCTGGAGTCATACATGACATATAAGAATATGGCTGTAGTTATTGGAAGTCAGTCATCACAGCTCTCTGGAGGAGTTCCTCAAGGTAGTGTCTTAGGTTCAACCATCTTCTTCAGCTGCTTCATCAATGACATTCCCTCCAACATAAGGTCAGAAGTAGAGATGTTCCGTGAAGATTGCACAATGTTCAGGACCATTCACAACTCTTCAAACACTGAAGCAGTCCATGTTCAAATTAAACAAGATCTGGATAATATGTATGCTTGGGTTGACAAGCGGCAAGTAACATTCACTCCATACAATGCCAAGTAATGACCACTTCCAATAACAGATGATCTAACCACTGCCCCTTGACATTCAATAATGTTACCATCACTTAATCCCCACTATCAACATCCTGGGGTTATCGGTGACCAGAAACTCAACTGGACTCACTACATAAAAAACAGTAGCTACAAGACTGGGTCAGAAGCTAGGGATACTGCAGTGAGTATCTCTCACCTCCTGACTCCCAAATGCCTGATCACCATCTACAAGGCACAAGTCAGGAGAGTGATGGAATACTCCCCACTTGCCTGGATGAGTGCAGCTCTAATAACACTCAAGAAACTTACCACCTTTCAGGACAAAGCAGGCCTCTTGATTGGCACTACATCCACAAACATCCACTCCCTCCACCACTGCTCAGTAGCAGCAGTATGTATTACCCTACAAGATGCACTGCAGAACTTCACCCAAGATTTTTAGACAGCACCTTCCAAACCCATGACCACTTGCAACTAGAAGATCAAGGGCAGCAGGTACATGGGAACACCACCACCTTCAAGTTCCCCACCAAGACACTCACCATCCTGACTTGGAAATATCACTGTTCTAGTGCTGTTTCTGGGTCAAAATCATGGGATTGCCTCCCTAACGACATTGTGAGCGAACCCACAGCATGTGGACTACAACGGTTCAAGAAGGCAGCTCACCCACCTTTTTTCAAGGGCTACCAGGGACAGGCAATAAATGCTGGCCAGCCAACGATGCCCACAACCCATAAATAAATAAAAGATAACTGCATATGCTCTGTCCAGAACCTAAAAAGATCTAGTTAAAATTGAAAATATAACATTTGCCAAGTCTATGGGAATATGCTAGGTATATGCTGTTTATATCTAACAGATTTCCTCCCTTAGTAGCAAAATGGGAATTAATCTCATTCTATTCAACATGTGAGGTTAAGTTTCAAGAAACATTAAATTACTTGCAGGTATATTAAATTTCTAAGTACAATTATCTGTTTTTTTAAAAGATAGATATATAGGCCAAAAGGAAGCTGAAAATGCAAGTTCAGTGGCTGCATGAATTTTTTTTATTCATTAACAGGATAAGGGCGTCATCCTGTTGATTACACTGAGTCCCGAGAGGAATCATGGAATACCACACCTTAAGAGTGTCAAGGGAACTTCAGACGGCATTGCTTCAAAGAGAGAGATGCAATTCAAAAAAGTGAACTGTGATCTTTTGCAGCTTGTGTTCCAGATTGTCAACATGATGTAAGTTGAAATAAGGCAATTCTGGGCAAAAGACATTTTATCCTTGCAGAAATAAAACCAACAGCAACTCCTTTGGTCTTTGAGTACTAAAGAGCTGGAGTGTTAGTGTCCAAGCTTATGGCTCAACTTTTATATTTCTCAAGTGTGCTGTGAAGGTACAGCTGGAAGCTTTTACAACACCACCGCGTATGTGCAAGATAAAAACAAAGGTATCTCTGACTGCTTAAAACTAATTATTAGCAAAGCAACTGCCAAAGAAAACTGGAGAATTTCCTTTCAGCTAGCTGCAAAAACAAGACTCTCCAAACAACCACTTAACAGCCAAAGTCAGCACTTTCAAATTCATCCAACTTAACAACTGTAATGGTTCACAGTTGATTTCTCATAGACAAGTATTAATTGATTTGAATACTCCTTTTTAACTTCTACCTTTCTGTACTCACCTCTCATTTCTAATCTACGTGTATTTGGGGAGAGGTGATGACCTAGTGGTATTATCACTGGACTGTTAATCCAGAGACCCAGATAATGTTCTGGGGATCCTTGTTTGAATCCTGCCATGGTAGATGGTGGAATTTGAATTCAATAAAAAATAAAACTGGAATTAAGAATCTAATGATGACCATGAATCCATTGTTGATTGTTGGAAAAACCCACCTCGTTCACTAATGTCCTTTAGGGAAGGAAACTACCATCTTTAACTAGTCTGGCCTACGTGTGATCTCAGACCCACAGCAATGTGGTTGAGTCTTAACTGCCTTCTGGATAATTAGAGATGGGCAATAAATGCTACCTAGCCAGCGACATCCTCATCCCGTTAATAAGTAAAAAAATTATGTTTTATTTTATCTTCTTGCATTTTAGTAGCAAATTAGCTCACATTTTCTTTTAACTCAAGAAAGCCTGGCTAAATTGGCTCTTTTTGAAACACAAGTACATTTGGGCTGGAGAAAGGTATAAGAGAACGGATCCTTTTTAAATTAAGCTTATTGCAACAAACCAAACAGTTGAATAAAGAGGGGTAGCCAGGTCCTCTCTCCTCACCAAGGATCGTAACAAATTGGCGACGTTCACCTGCGGATCAGTCATAAAACAGGTATACATTTACCTTTACAACATAATAAACGGCCATATACTTCATCAGAAAACAACGTCATCTTCATGGATACTACTGCTGCAGAAGCTAAGCATTTGCATCCAAGTTCACTTCTAAATAGATTGCGTCATGTATCTTGACCTTTGACATTTTCCAGATATGGCGAGTTTAATTTGGAACGAAACACGTTATTTCTTGATCCATGGCAGTTGCTACTTTACAGATTACGGCAAGCAAACCAAGTTGATCTGCAACATTCAGGGGGCATCAGTCATTGTGAAATCAAAGGTTAGTGTGCTACAAATTAGTTGCTATCTTTTGAATCCCTAGGACCTTTTTTTAAGGCTTAGAAGAAAAGTCTTCATGACATCACTGCGTATTTTCAAAATCTTTTTGTTTCCAAATTCCTCCATGCTCCATTCTTTCTAATTTCTTCTAGCTCTTTAAGCTTTCAAGATAGCTTTGTCCCTCCAATTCCGATCTTGAGCACGCTGACATTAATAACTTCAGCTTTAGCAGCCGTGCCTTCAGCTTCCAAGGCCTTATTCTCTCCTAAACTCTACTGAACACTTACAGCCAAGTTCACTTCTATATAGGTTACATCATATACCTTGACCTTTGACAGGTGATGCTTTACAGATTACAGCAAGTTTAATTTAGAATTAATCATGTTGATACACATAAAGATTCCTGCTAATAGATTCAAAATTTGGAGAAAGTGATTATAATGACCCAGAAATTGCAAATGCAATGATGTGCCATAGAAATCCGCACTTGGTGATCAAGCTATCTGCAGCTTACCCTGGTGCTGGACACCCTAGGTCTATAAGTGGCGCCAAATTCAAAGTGATGTTGGTATAGAAGAAATCTATCCTATATATATATGACAGCTTTTTGTGGCACCTTCTTCAAGATTAGCAGCAAGCACTGTCCCTTCATTAACAGCAAAATCTGAACCAATATATGGCTGTATTCGAAAGGGGATCTCAAAGTAAAAACAATCAATAGAACTTGTCAAGTCCAGGAACACAGAAGGTAGATGATTGTGTTGGGAGGACGTGGCAACAACACAAGACAGAACACTTCAATTGTCAAAACATTCCTTGATTCAGTTGTCTCCACAATCACTGCACTCCTTTGAAATATAATAATAAACAACCTCCAAGAATTAAAAAGTCCTAGTTATTCATTTTATTAATATTTAATATTTTCATAAATAGTTAATATTATCATTAAACGGTCACACTTTCCAAATACTATTTAAAATATCCAAGATTTGAGCAGGTTACTTTACCTTTTAATATCATTAATGAGCCTGTTCTTTTCTTGTGCCACACGCTTATGATGCATCCTATGGAAATCGCGTTCTTTCCTAAGTTTTATTAATGTTTCACCAGCTGTTCTGCGGGTGCAAAAATGGCCAAATTTTAATGCTGCTAAGGTGTTATAAACATTTTATACAAATATATTTCTACATAGAATAATTTTAAGTGATATTAAGTTATTTATTACATACTTGGTTGCTATCTTGCAGTTCTCAAGATCTTTCTTCAAGTTTTTCACCTCATTTTCCAGCAGCTGATTTTGGGCATATACATCAGGAACAAATCCCACATCCTGCAATTTCAGTAGACCTTTTTGCAGCATTTCGTACCTGATGTGACAAAATGCACAACATGAGTTTCAAGCCAAAATCTGATTCATTATATGTTACATCAACAATTATTAAAATGAAAAAACTATGGCACGTTCAAATCTTATGGCATGACATGGAGAGGAAGGCAAAACAGTCTGCACATTAAGAACAATTATGAATGCGGGACTAAGGATATTAAAGGATCTTCTCAATTAGATCAGTTAGGCATTCTGGCATTTTAGGAAGGAAATATTGTTTGTAGAAGTGAATGAAGCTTATTTGAAATCAGACAGTGATTTAGCAGTCAATTTGCAGTGTTGTATGTGTTTAGAGGAAGTTAAATCATAAAGCAAAGCAGAATTATTTGTTGAAGATGGATACATTACAACAATACATTACATACAAAGTTGGATGCAGGAATTGAAACAGTCTCCCTTGACAGAACTAAAGGACAATCAAATGAAAACATTAGCAATAGAACTAAGTGACGGGGTACCAAATGATGCAATTGCTTAGGAGATGCCAACACTGATGAGTATTCTACAACATTCCTAAGGAATGTCAATTCTCCTCATAGTGACTGACAAGATGCATACAGGAGCAAATTTATGAAATTTAGAAGTATTTATTTTTTAAAACAGTGAATTTAAAAAAAACTCACAAAAGTGAACACAAATTATTAGTTCTAATAAATGACAGGAAGCAGCAAACAAGGTAGAAGTATCAAACTGATAATCCAGAGATAATGAGATGAAATCTCACTAAGGCAGCTTGAGAATTTAAAAATTCAGTAAAATAGATTTAAATTTTTAGATTTTACACTTTATTGATGAAATAAATAAATCTAGAAGAAAAACGTTGGTACTAGTAATGATGACTGTGAAACTACCAAATAGTTAGAAAATCCTTTGATTTAATTATGTGTTTCATGGAAGGAAATCTGCTAACTTTACCTTGTCAGATCCAAAGCAATGCAGTTGGCTCTTAGCTCCCCTTTGAAATGGCTAAGCAAGCCAAACGACTGAAACAAGAGAGATGGCTCAGCACCTTGTGAAATGTAATTAGAGACAGGCAATAAACGCTGACCTTGCCAGTGACATCTACATCGCATGAATGAGTAAAAAGAAGACAGTTTGAATCATGTAACTATAATGGAGATCGATATAGTTCTTAAGGATAGAGGGTTCAAAGGGTTTGAGCAAAGTGGGAACTGGGTACTGAGTAGGATGATCGGCCACAATCATATTGAATGGCAGAGCAGGCTCGAAGGGCTGAATGACCTACCCCAGTTCCTATTTCCCATATTTCTATATTCTGACCTTCAGGGTAATCAAGAGATTATGTAAAAAAAACCTGATTAAAAAGTTAAATGGTGAAATACGATCATTTTAGGCATACGAAGTAATGCAATTGAATACTAAAACAGGAAGAGATGCTGGAAGGAAACAATATGGAAGAAAAGAATTGTATAGTTTTAAGGAAGATGATATTTAAAATAATATAGGAATGTGATCCTTAAATAGGTTGGATAGTAACAGTAAAACATATTTGGTTCATGAACAAAGTTGTGTAAGTCATTTGGTGGAAAGATAATACTTGTTCAGAATGAAACAGGATAAAGAGATCTCTAGATAGCCTGAGGTACGCCAGAAACTGGTGAAAACTGCAAAGACTGACCACAGCTGGAGATATGAAGCAGAGAACTTAATTATAGTTCAAGCATGACTGGAATAAATAAAAGATGAAAAGAGGAGCTTATTTCTCACTGGAAAAAAAAACTGATGAGAATAGCTCTGTTTGAAGGTAAAGAAATTGCTGAAAACTATCATTTTTCAACTGTGTTCAGAAAAGAAACAGGATTGGAGAAAATGGTCATAATTGGAAGCACAGTTTAAATGTGAATATAAATTGAAAAGTATTAAAAATCACACAAGACATTGTAATTAGGACTAGCAATTGGCCCTTTGAGTCTGTTCTGCCATTCACTATAATCATTATGAATGTGGCTGTGAACCTAACTCCATTTTCCTGTCTGTCCCCTACACATTGTTGAAGTTGATAAGATTCCTAGTTTTAATAATTTTTATTGTAGGATTCCAATGAGGTTGGTTCAAACTATTAAGAATCCTCTTCTGTGTATTACTTAGAGTTCACAGCTCTCAATGACCAAATCGCAAAGGATTGAAAAATAGCAAATGTGACTCCAATCTTCAAGGGAGGCAAGGGATTAACTATAAATTACATTTAAAAAGTCAAACATGTCTGCTTTCACAAAAGGGTTTGAAATTTCAAGGCTAAGCCAAAATATTCAGTGCAGTTTTAGGGATGGGTGTCATGTTTGCTTTATTCATCAAATTGTTCTGGAGGGAAGGAACGTCAACTACTTGAGTTCCAAGAATGCATTTCACACTGTACAATAGACTACTGCACTTGGTTAAAGCACAAAGATGAGATGGAAATGTACTGAAGTGGATTGGTATATAGTTGATTAATGGATAAATAAGCAATCAGCTGATATATAACAAGGAGCAGCTAGTTACACATAGACAAATATTGAATGAACAGCCAATTACCATTGGAGTGATACAAGGTCCAGTGTTGGGGCAGGGTTTGAATTGGTTTGTTTGCAAAATTAAAACCAAAGGGTTAAAAAGCAATGAGAACTTTGTTAATGTACAGAATACAAAGAATAATGGCTTGCAGCATGATAACCTCACATTGTGCCACATCATACTTCATCTACCAAATTTTCACAACTCGCTCACAAACTACCTATATTTCTTGGAATCTCTTTGCTGCATCCTTACAATTTGCTTTCTTAGTTATCTTAGCAATTTCATCAAATTTAGCTGTGATACAGTTGGTTGTTCCATCTAAATCATTGTAATCATTGTATCGACCTTAATTAATTGAGGGCATAGCACCAATCAATGCAGCACTCCACTTGGTACACCTTGCCAACCTAAAGTTGTGTGAGATGTAACCGGTGTGATTTTTATATATAATTTTTAATATCATTTGTTTTCAGTATGGGTTCCTGGTTTTTGAGTTGGTAACCAGTGGGTTTTCTGCGTAACTGAAGCTAATGATTAACTTCTTAAAGCATTATGGAGCTATAGTAGTTTAAAACATTTTTGAAACCTAGCTTTAAAATGAATGGATTTTGTACATTATTAATAGTCTTCCATGTATTTAGTTGTTTTGCAACCCAGCATGGTAAATAAGGTTTGTTAGAGACTTCAGAAACTTGTTTTTTTTAAGCTTAAGAGAAACACCCATGGCTGAGACAGGGATACTTTTACTTTTACTTTTGACTTTGAATGGCGTAGTCCTGTGAAATTCTTGGACCAGGATGGCCACGTAGAAAGGGATAGATAGTGAATTAGCTTATCTTGGAGTGAAGAGTTAGTGCTAGCCCCAGACAGAAGTGATAGATAAAACCCTAGAGCTGTTAACACCCTATTATGTTGTCTTGCTGCCTTCAGGGATTTGTGGACAATCAACCCAAGATTCCTCTGTTTCTCTGATCATCTTAGTGTCCCAGCATTCATGGAGTACTCCTTTGTCGTGTTATTTCTTCCATCACCTTGTACTTATAGGGCTAATGTCCATCTGGCCAATCCATAAGACCATAAGACACAGGAGCAGAAATTAGGCCATTCAGTCCATCGAGTCTGCTCCGCCATTCAATCATGGCTGATAGTTCCTCAACTCCATTCTCCCGCTTTCTCCCTGTAACCGTTGATCCCCTTGATAATCATGAACCTATCTATCTCAGTCTTAAATGTACTCAATGACCTGGCCTCCACAGCCTTCTGTGGCAGTGAATTCCATAGATTCACCACTCTCTGGCTGAAGAAGTTTCTCCTTATCTCCATTCTAAAAGGTCTTCCCTTTACTTTAAGGCTGTGCCCTCGGGTCCTAGTCTCCCCTACCAATGGAAGCACCTTCCCAATATCCAATCTGTCCAGGCCATTCAGTATTTTGTAAGTTTCAATTAGATCCCCCCCTCATCCTTCTAAACGCCAATGAGTATAGTCTCAGAGTCCTCAAACGTTCCTCATATGTTAAGCTTTCCATTCCTGGGACCATTCTTGTGAACCTCCTCTGAACCTGCTTCAGGGCCAGTACATCGTTCCTGAGATAGCAGGCCCAAAACCGCACACAATACTCCCAATGTGGCCTGACCAGAGCCTTATAAAGCCTCAGTAGTACATCCCTGCTTTTATATTCAAGTCTGCTAAAATAAATGCCAACGTTGCATTTGCCTTCCTGACTACTGACTCAACCTGCAATTTTAATTATATTTATATTTAATATTTATATTTTCTTGTAATCTAAGACTTTCTTCCTCATTATTAACCACGCAGCCAATCTTTGTGTTACCCGCAAACTTACTTAACATGCCGCCCAACATTCTCATCTATCTCATTTATACGTACCACAGACAATAAAGAACTCAGGACGAATCCCAATAGTGTGCCACTGGACACTGGCCTACAATCACACAAATAACCTTCTACCACCACCCTCTGTCTCCTACCATTAAGCATTTTTAGATCCATCTTGCCAAGTAATTATGGATCCCATGTGCTTACCTTCTTTATCAATTTCCCAAGTGGGACTTCATCAAAGGCACTACTGACATCCACATAAACTACATCAACTACACTACACTTACATCCTTGAAAAATTCAGATTTGCTCAGCATGGCCTCTCTCTGACAAAGCCATGCTGACTACCCTTGAACAAACCTTGCCTCTCCATACTGAAAGTCATTCCATCCTTCTGAATTTTCTCCAATGTTTCCCTATCACTGATGTGAGACTCAATGGTCTGTAATTCCTTGGTATATCCCTTCCAACCTTCTTAAAAAGTGGAACCATATTAGCTCCACTCCAGTCCCCTGGAAACTCATCTGTGGCCGCAGGGGAATTGAAAAATTTGGATCAGAGCTCCTGTAATTTCCCCTCTCACAATTAGGATACAATTCATTTCGACATTCAGCATGCCAAAAC